ATTTTCATTCAGAAATTGGTAGGATATTTCACAAATAATTACAGATCATGTATGTATGTATGTATGTACTGGGGGGGAAAAAATTTTTTTTTTTTTTTTTTTTACAATTTTCATTCAGAAATTGGTAGGATATTTCACAAATAATTACAGATCATGTATGTATGTATGTATGTACTGTATGTATTTATTTATTTATTTATTTTTTTTAAGTAGAAAGACTCCAATAATATGTAAAACGTACTCCAGTTATATTATTATTATTATTATTATTATTATTATTTAATTATTTTGTATTTAATTATTTAAAAATCTTTTTACAGGGTAATTATGGTAATTTACAGGGTGAGTACAAGGACAAATTGTGAAATGAAGTGGTCATAGATATGACACGACTGTAACTGCTGTGATCTGTACATTAAAATAGGACCAAGGGTGAAAGCCAAACCAAAACAAATACTATTTGAATGGGAAATAAAGCGAACTCTTCTCATTGTCATCAGGAAGTGGTTCTCAGCACCTTGTGTTATCCACATGACTGCAGGTGGAATCAACTAATTACTATCTACAATCTACTGAATCACTTCATGAACAGAGGAAAGCCCATAACAATAGGCCACATTCTTACCTGTGGCTGAAAACCAGTGGAAGAGCTGGTTCTCACGCTCACAGATAACACCAGCCCCAATGTGTGACTCGTGAGACAATGAGAAATTAATAGCACTCTTTTCCCCAAAAAAACATTAATGAATGGAACTGATTCGAGTGTAACTCCACCATCCCGAAACCAGCAGAAAACGCCACGACTGACCCCACATCAGCGGTACAAGCTTAGAGTATTGACATACAGAGAACTATGAAGTCTTGTGTGCTGCCGTGCACTCTTTGCTATTTATCGATCTGACTGGGGTTCATGGGACTTCAAGCGAGACGAGTTCCAGCTCAGCCACGCTTGGCAGACTGTTAGCAAGACCTCATAGCTGCAGAAGTGTGAGGGCGTGAGGGGCAAGCCTGAATGTCGACCTGCCTTTTTTCCTCTTGTAAGCCAGCGGCGCTGTGTGTGCACACTCCATACTCTCGCCCATCGCCGGCTGAGTCTTTATGGGATTTCCAGCTCAGCAGAACGCACCTGTTCTTCAGACACAGAACCCCCCCACGTATCAATCAGACCACCGGGCCACACCACCATTCATCAGGCGGCACGCGATGCTCCGGTGGCTTCAAACTCACACGCACACAAAAACACATAAATGAACACACACGGGTATGTTTTACCGCCGGCCGCCAATCACACATAACCATGGATCGGGACTGCTGTGAAGGATTGTTGGCTGGGGTTTGAGGGAGGGGGAGCCTGTGGGGATGTAAACGAGGAGTAAGTGAGTGTGTCTGGGAATGTGTGTGTATGTGCACGTGGGTTTGTACGCTACAAGAGCACTGGGCCGCGATTGGCCATAAATAACCTGAGACTTTTAACCAGCAGTGGGACTTGTGTTGGATGATCCACATTGGTTGCTATTCACAATTACGGTTAGATCAGGCTCACAGACCACACAAAGTCTCTTCGCTGATGCATTTTGCAGACAAAACTGAAAACTGCAGTTCCAATCAGATACACAAGTTCTTGATATCAGGGTCTACAGGTTTTTAGTTGCCCACATGGAAACAACCTCATAAGGTATTACATATCACAAGGGATTCTGGCACAATAATTTTTTTGTTTTTTTATAGCAAGTAAACTAGATATCCACTAGCAGAACTGCATATCTGCCACTTTTTTTCTATAGTGCAAACTGTCACTATTGTGCAACTGTTTGAGTTTCTATTATCATGTTGCCAACTACTTCAGATTTGTTCGCCTGCACTCAGCTGGTTCTCCTAACCTAAGCTGGTCTCCCAGCCTGGTCAAGTTGATTTGTTGGTTTAAGAGTGGTTTTGGACACCTTTGGGAAAGTGCCATCTAGCTAAATTAGGTAAACACCATGTAGGCCAGGCTGGAAGTCCATCAGTTCCCCACCTCCTCATTAGGATATGGACTTTAATTGGTTTATTGCCTTGACCAAATTCTCTGGTCCACATCTAAATCAATAATTGCTCCAAACTCTCTATGTTTTAGCTTATAAGCAGTTATGCTCTGCTTAGTTATGGCAGGTAAAAAGGTAAAAAGAAGTTGCTGATTGCCATGTAAAATAAAAACCAACAACCAGTCAATTGCCCACCAAATACCACATATGTTCTGGAATGTATATTAATTTAATGAGAGTAAAAAAATTAAATAAATAAATACATACATACATAAATGTGTTTTATGTCTGCAGAATAATCGGTGCACTTTTTGGACAGACAAAAATTCTAATCCACAATCACCACATATTTTTTTGTGATTTTGTAAATGTTTATTTTTTTATATATACTTTCGAGATTTGAAGTATGCTACAAGTACAACACTTTTTTTTTCTCTCGAAAGGTTTAAGTTGAAATGACAGGAATTTATGAAGTAAATGATTCAGTAACACTTTAGAATACATTATTCACCATTAACTATTAAAAGTTTTCCCTCAATAAACTCATAATTACTGCTTATCGATAGTAGGTAATGTAGTTGTTGTAGTAGTTATGTTTAGATATAGGTCGGGTTAAAGGATCTAAAATATGGTTATGCAGAATAAGGCATTAAAATGTACTTTATAAGTACTAATAAATATCCAATATGCTAGTAATATGCATGCTAATAAGTAACTAGTGAATTTGTTTCCTTAATCTTAAGTCTTGCCATTAATTTCTACTCCCTTGCATTCAAATTTGAACTGTTGAACTCTGTTCCTTTTTGCTAAATAAAGTAATATTCATGAACTGACTTGGAATTTTATATGCATTCTCAATTCTATGATGAATGGCACATGACTGTAGAATGCAGAGACCAGAATATCATAGAGATGTAGGTGAGGGCTCTCCTGACAAACGCCAACAAGCTCCTAGCAACCATTCAAAACACTCTAGCAACTACATACCAGCATGATAAAACATCTTGAAAACCTCAGAAACATGCTGGCAAACACTCAAGACATTTTAGCATGTTAAAAATCTAGGGTAGGCTGGGACACCAGATGAAACCCCAGCTAGACCAGGCTGGAAGACCACCAGATTTCCTCCTTTTCAGCATGTTGTTATTTTCCTTTTCTTATTAACAAACATAATAGAGGATAAGACCTTTAATTGGTTTATCCCTGTTCTACATCATCATCAATGCTTGGACCAAACTCTCTGTTTTTGCTTAGAAGTGGTTCATTTTCCTTTAGATTTGGCAGGCAAACAAACATGACAAGCTGCAGTTTGCCATGTAAAATTATTTAAAGCCAACAACCAGACAACTGCCAAGCAATAAAGTTGAAAAAGGCACATCTTATCTGTCATCTAATAAAAAAAAAACATTGTGTTGGCACTCAGACCTCCAGTATAGTAAGACAAAAGGAGTATTAAAATAATCCAAAACCACCAAACGTCAAGATATTTCTTTCTTTTTAATTAAGTAATTAATTCATTCATTCATTAGCACACTCGCTCATTAGTTTGTTTTTTCGTTCATTTATTCATTTGAAGAACCAGGATTCCCACAGACCTGTCAAAACTGAATATATGAGGTAGCCTAATTATAAAAGTTTCTATACCTGAAAAAGCAATGCAAATTAATAAAATCTTCTACATGGGCATTTTTATAATGACTATACAGGATTTATTTTACTTTATTTAATTTTTTGTATTTTTTTTGCTCCTAAATTGCATGTAAAAACAAAACAAGATATATTGGTCACACTTTATTTTAAGGTCCAATTCTCGCCATTAACAAACCATTAACTATGACTTTTGCCCCAATAAACTTATAATTTGCTGCTTATTAATAGTTAGTAAGGTAGTTGTTAAGTTTAGGTACTGGGTAGGATTAGAGATGTAGAATATGGTCATGCACAATATGTGCTTTATAAGCACTAATAAACACCAGTATGTTAAAAATAGGCATGCTAATAAGCAACTAGTTAACAGCGAGAATTGTTCCCTATACTAAAGTGTTACCGATATATTTTGGTTGTTTTATAAAATAAGCCCCAGTGTAGAAAAGACCAACACTGTCCATGCTCGAACAATACAGGAGGATCATTTCACATGGGGCTTCAGCGAGGAGATCTCGAAGCCCGTTGGTTGTGTATTGTAGCATTGTGACAGCTGGCATCTTTTAAGAGCATCGTTTTTCATAGTCGCACCAGTATGACATGACACATGCCCTTCTGCCACCATCAGTCACCTTAATACCACGGCTCCGGCTCCTCAGCAATGTCATCATTACATCGCTCTTCAATTACCCTGACCTCCACGCACGCACTGGACTCCCATCCCAGTCCCGCTCTGTTGCTGCAGAAGGTTAATTGAAACAGAATGCACAGCTAATTTCTTTTCTAACGAGAGTGGGCGAGGTGTAATAAGTCAAAGAGACATTGCAGGCCTTCCTTGAAAGAGCTTTGAGGAGAAGAGCACTCCTTTGTTTAGTGGGCTGGCAGAATCGCAGGCTGAAGATGTGTGTGAGTGTATCATGTGTGTTTGAAACCAAACGACTGAATCTCATTAATCTTCAAGTAAATGTCTAGGTCTGACTGTCCTATTCACGCCAGTCTCCAGAGCCCCGGGCAGGTGAAGGATTGGACGCTCGAGGGCACAACACAGGTGTGGAGAGGTCGATGGTTTGAGTGAGACTGACTCCAGGTGTGTCCTGAAGGGTTTGAGTGGGTCATCTTGTGTTCAACTACTCCTGTTCTGAAGCATGTGTGTGTGTGCTTGGTCCTGGGGTCCCACTGTCCTGAAAAGTGTATTTCCAACCTGCTTAAGCTCACCTGCCTGTGTATTTTTAAGCAATACTGAAGCCCTTGATTGGCTGCTTCCGGTGTGTTTGATAGGGTTGGAGCTGATCGCAGGGTAGGGTTGGGAGAAATAACATACTGCGGTTTTATAGGATTTATATGAGTTTTAATGAGTTAAAAAATAATTAAATATTTGGGGGGGACAGCAATTAATGCAAAAGAACAACCATCTCACACAAGGATGGGCCACACAAGACTTATGAGCATCTGTGCTCACCAAACTAAATTGTATTAATAACATGTCAGAAGACTAGTAATTATCTCTAATTGTTAGTAAATGACAAACACAAACTGTAATCTGATCATTTATGCCAACTGAAAGTTCAAATATAATGTTAAAGAGTAAATATATCCACATAAATCATAAATAAATAAATACATAATCTAAAATACTATCCTTGAAAATATGCCATTATTTTTTTAATGCATTTTATCATTTTATATGCATTGAATGCAGATATATTTATGATTGCACATTTTAATGGTATTTAGAGATTATCACAGTTTTTTGTATCCATTCACAGTCATAATGTGTGTGTGTGTGTGTGTGTGTGTGTGTGTGTGTGTGTGTGTGTGTG